GCTGAATCATTTTCAATTTAGGTATCCAGAAAGGCAGATTTCTCTTTTGTATTATCCAGCTTTCTGCCCATGGGTGGGGTAAGCAGGTTGTTTCTACACTTCATTTCAAATAGATTTCCTACAAAATGTTATGCTTTGGATATTTGAAAATCTATCCCAGAAGGAAGGATGACTTGACAGAGATTGAGAAACTCAAGAAAAATGCATGTGATTATGCATGGTATTGAATGCATGGCTCAAATGACTGCACTACAGTATTTCATCATTCTTTTTTGAGACTGTGTAAGACATGAACAGCCATCTACTAGCTTTGACTGGACTTCATTTTTTATTGCTGAAAATTAAAATTGCTTAGTTAGGGGGTACTAGAAAGGAATGGTCTTCATGATTAAACCAGAATCACTGGGTTATATTCTTTTATAAGTCTTTTATGTACCTTTCTCTATATAATTCTGTTTTCCCAACAGATCACTTGCTATATCTTTTCTTCCTCACTTGGACGTGCTAGGCTTAATGTCAGCAAAATGCTTTGGACTCCTCAACTAAAAGCATGATTCAAAGTATAATGGATTAGCATACTAATATTATAAAAGCCGTGGTCTGTCTGTCTGTAACGCTTTATTTGCACTCTCATTGGCTGTCTCGACAGCCAATCAGAGTGCTTCAGGAGGGTTCAGACTCCAGGTGTCAGGGGTGCCACAGCGGACCGCCACCATGACAGCAGGGGGCCAGGGCCAGTGCAGCTCCCCTGCTCCGTGGGGGAGCCGTAGGCGGCGATGGCGGCACAAGGGAGGTAGGGAACAGTGTTGGACCCATGGCAGGAACATGAGGGAGGGGAGGAATGCGCCTGGGCTGGGCACTGGCCCACTGCAGCATGGAGGAAGAACAGGCCCTGATGCCATGACGGCGGGGACAGTGCATCTGGCCTCGGGGGCACCCCCGCCCTGCTCTCAGGAGGTGGTGGTGATGGAGCGGACAGAGTGGGAGACGAGGCCAGAAGTGCTGGCCTCACCCCCTGCTCCCTGGATGCAGCTGCAGCACGGGATGCTGGGTGGCAGTGCTCCACACCCCCCCACCCCCATCATTCAGGGGGAGAGGGCAGGTGGACAGAAGCTGGGCGGCTGGGGAGGAAACATGCCTGGCCCCAAAACAGGCGGGCGGGGGGCTGCACTGGGCCCAGCCCTGCAACAGCAGTTGGGGGGGAGGCACCGGGCCTGGCCTGGCCCTGCCCTGCCCCACCCCACCCCACCCCACCCCAAAACAGCAGCGTGAAATGGCAGGGCCACCGGCCCCACAACAGCAGCAATGAGGGTGGGGGGGCATGCCTGGCCCAGCCCCAAAATGGCAGTGGGGGAGGGAGGTGCCAGGCCCCGGCCCAGCCTGGCAACGGTGGGGAGGAGCCCGGCCACAAAACAGCAGTGCGGGGGGGCACCAGGCCCAGCCCAGCCCCGCAACAGCAGCAGGGAGGGTGGGGGGAGGGCCTGGCCCTGCAGTGGAGGGGAGGAAAGGGGGAGTGGGCCCAGCCCCAAAGGTGAGGGGGAGGAGTGGGGGCCGGACACAGGCCTCTGTTCCCTCCCGCGCTGCCCCCTCCCCCGTCATTCTTGATGAGTAATTGCTAGTTATTCCAGAATTCCAGTTTGAAGGTGCAGTGTTGCCTGCTGGTCACAGTTAAATGTATTCAGGAATGGTTTAGTTATTTCAAAATGAACCCCAAGATTGTAGCATTTTAATTTAACCTGTTTTTAAACTCCAAGGGCATGTCCCCACATTCAGGGACATATGCTTGCAGCAGCAAAAATAGTTTTGTGCCATTACTTTTTGCCACAGTGCATGCCCCTGCACATGTGCTTTGGTGTGGGACAAACTGCCCTGCTTTGGGGAAACTGCCCTTTCCCCACTCTTCCTGGCATGCTGGAGGAGCCAGGGGGCAACTAAGGGAGTAAAGACACTGGCCAGCAGCCAGTATCTCCCAGGAGGACTAACGCTCCATGGCTGCCGGTGCACGCTCCTTTCATGTGCGTTACACTGCTTTTTTTGCGTTTTATTTTTTCCCCTACCAGGATTTCCTGGTAGCAAAATTTGCAGTACAGGGCACATTTTAACGTTCCAAGAGTGTGGTCTGTGGCACTGCAGAGGTTTGCTGTGCCACAAACCACATGTGTCTGCACATCTGGCTGCAGCCAAGGTAATTAAACTGTATTCTGTTTGGTTTTAGATTATAGATGAAAATTGCAACATTCTGCCTCCTGGAGAAGAAGGAGATATTGCCATCAAAGTAAAACCCAAGAAACCCTTTTGCCTTTTCACAGGATATGCAGTAAGGCTCGCTACAAAATTAAACTGCACACCTATTAAAATCTCTCTTTATCCCTTAACAAACAACTTGAAAATCGAGTTACTTTGCAAAATCTGGATTATTTTTTCAGGGGCTGAAATTGCAGACATTATTATTACCATCACAATTACTGTTGTTGTGATAACATGCCCACATTCCTTTCCCATTGTGCCATTGTACTAACACCCAAAAGATGGTCTCTGCCTCGGCACTTTCTTACAGCCTAAATGCACATCCTATCCCACAACAGACTGCAAAACTAAACACTAAAGCTATATAGATAAAGAAAGAAAAGGAATTAGGAAGTAAAAAAAAAAAATGTAATGATTTTTAAATTCCTGTTCCAGCTGGCCACCTAGAGGTGTAGGCTTTCACACTACCAGAGCTACCAGAGATCCTCTTTAGAAAAAGGAAGATGACATGGTATGGAAAAACCAAGAGGAGCTGTACTAGACAAGAGATGTAAAGAGGCAGGATGAATTAGAGCTGGTGACACTTCCAGCAAATAGTAAATTAACTGAAAAATACATTTTTGGTCATCCCAAAACAGTGAATTCAGGTTGAATTTCTTGAATAGATATGGCTGGAAACATAATTTTCAGAAAAACAAAAAGCCAAATACATGATTGTATGCAAAAGAGATGACTTTGTTCTTATCTAGCAGTCAGTGACCAAGACTATCAACAAATTAGACAAATGAAATATCTAGGAGCATTATTACTAATAACTGTTTGATGAGGGGGGAGATCAGGGTATGGGTACAGAACAGGAGAGCCTACACTTTTCACTGCAGTTAATTTTAGCTCCAAGTAACTGGTGGGAAAGAGCAGGCTACACTTATACAAGACCATGATAACTGATATGGAGGCAAGATACAGGCACTTACTAAGGAAGAGAGACAACTCAGTATCTCTGAAAAGAAAGTATTTAAACTTTTAGGAAGCCAGTAAAAAAAAAAAAGTGAAGTGTGTAAAAGATAATTTAATAAAGAATAGAACGAGTTCTATGAAGAGCTGGGTTGAAAAACTGCAGTGGAAGCCTAATAACTTTAGTGGGCAGGCCATACACTTAAGATGTCAAAAGACAAACCAGCTATGCATCTCCCAGAAGGTCACTTCTATGATGTTCAAACTATGGGCAACCAAGGGGAAGGTGGAGGGATAATACTGAGCAAGACATAAAGGTTTTTAATGTGAGTTGTCAGCGGTGGAGGAAAATTGTGCTAATGGCCAATGCCCTCAAGGGTCTCTAGAGCTAGGGAGTAGTTGCCCCAGCTCTTGCCCAGTAGCTCAAGTGATTAGAGTACTTACTCAGGCCTCTGGAAGACTTTAAATTAGTTTTCTCCTCAGATCTCCCATGGGAGAAACCTGCCTATCAAGCTATAGGGCATGAAGTGGACCCTCGGTCTTTCAGCTTCAAGTTGATCTGCATTAAGCAATTATTAATATCCATTGAGACAGGAACTGGAACCCAGAAGTCCCACCTCTGAGGTGGATGGTCCTGATTATCAAGCTAGTAAGAAATATTCTCTAACTCTGTATCCAGTAGTTATTTAAGGTATTATAAAGTAGCACAGCGAGCAAGACACTCCCAAGAAAACCTTATAAGAGCATTCATCTGAAAAGGCAGAGTGGATTTAATCTGATCAAGTGGAACATTTCCTACAGAATTGGATTTTTCATTTTGACAAGAAAAAAAACAGAAACATTTAATTTGCATAATACTTTTTACCTCAACTACTGGAGACCAAATTGAAGCTATCAAGTCATGCTGTGATTTAAAACAAACCATAGCCAGGCCATTCCAATGCTGCTGCAAGCAAGGGAGAGGAAACTATACAGTGTCTAACTAACACTTTGCAGTCAAATCCAGGAGTCAGATTAATTAACTTTGAGCTATAATTGAGATATATTATATACAGTTCTTTTTTTTTAGCTGGGTAAGCGTAGTCAAGACTTTTCTGGAGATATAAAGGGGCAGAGATAAAAAGGTAACTAAGAGTTGGGCAATCACTCCCAAATGAACTTAAAACATTACATTTAGGAATAACCCGATGAAGTCAAACACATTCTCCTCTCCACTGTGACTGTGCATTTCAAGACAGTCCTCCTCAACGGTTCCAGAACGATGAGGCAAGATGTGCATTTTGCATGGTTCACTATAATTAAAAACAGTTTTTAAAAGTCAATCAGAGACCTGAGCCATGGCATTTCCCAGCTGCTGAATTTTACAATTTTTAGTTCCTGTTTTATGAACTCTGTAGTAAATCCATGATTGTGAATAGGGACAGCATATGAATAAAATGACCTTTGATTCTTTTTTTAAACATTCTGGTATTTTAAGGCAGATTGCCATAGCATGGACTAGTTCAAAACATGGAGGGGTTTTTGTCATATTAAATTATGGGGGAATATATATTAAATGCTGAAATAAGTGTCATATCTCATTTTTACATAAATTAGAAAAATTCATTTATTTGCAGGCAGAGTAACATTTGTCAAATGTAATTTAATGTTAACTAGGATGATCCAGAGAAAACTGATTCTACAATACGTGGCAGTTTTTATATCACTGGGGACAGAGGGTTTGTGGATGAAGATGGATACTTCTGGTTTGTTGGAAGAGCTGATGATGTCATCAATTCTGCTGGGTAACAATTTATGCTTCACATTGCAATGTTAGACTCAAAGCAGGTGTGTGGCAGGGCACCTGATGTGTCTGCCACTTTGAGCTTAAGGGGGAAGGAGTGTGGCAGGGCACTAGATATGCCTGCCACTCTGAGGTCAGGCAGCCTGCTGAGCCACTGGCAGGTGGGGTCAGGCCAAACTGGAGAGTCAGCTGACTGGAGGGCCAAAGCTAGGCCTGGAGGGGGGGCGGGGGGGTGTCACCTGATTATAAGGGTGTATCTTGATTGGAGAAGGACTGGGCATACACAAGATATAAGCCTAGACCCCAAGAGCAGGGTTGGCAGTAACATCTTGGGAGCTGGGGTAGGGACGTCACCCAGCAGGAAGGCTGCAGCTCCTGAATGCCAGCAAGGAGAATGATATCTGGAGGTTTGGGTAGGAACTAAGAGGATGGAGAAGGATCCTGGGGACCTAGTGTGGGGTCCAGAACCCCGAGATGGGGGCTGAGAGTATGTGGGCCTGTTGAGGGGCAAAGAGAGCCATAAGAGAAGGACTGAGTGCCTGAGCCCTGTTGAGAGGCCTGATGTGCCTAGAGAGAGAGAGGCTGAGTGCACGGGGCCTACTGAGAGACCAGGCAAGTCCTGGGAGAGGGGCTTAGAGTTGGTGGGCCTATTGAGAACCTTTGGTGGGTCTGAGAGAACCTCGTGAGCGGGGCAGAGTACAGGGAGTCTACTGAGGGGTCTGGATGTGCCCACAGAAGAAAGGGGCTATGTAGCCAGACCTATGGAAGACTCTGAACCTGCAGAGAGAGAGTGACCCATGGAGAGGCCCAAGTGGGTGGACCCACAGAGAGAATTGGGCTGACAGTTCAAGAACAGACGCTGGGAACCTTGATTGGCCTATGCTGGGGCCAGGGCCCAGGAGGGGCTGAAGGGTGAGAGAGCCCACCGCGAGAAAGCCAGAGCTGGGAGAGCCTGGAGTCTCAACTTGCCTGGAGGCAGGACCAGGGCCTAGAAAAGGCACAAAGGTCTTTGTGTGGTCACAGCCAAAGAGAGGGGTCAGGAAGCATGTACTCCAGGATGACGATGGCTAGTAGGAGTCTGAGAGCGAGTTGAGGCCAGGGATTTCATAGATTTCATAGACATTCGGGCTGGAAGGGACCCTGGAGGATCAGAGTACAGCTCCCTGCCCCAGGGACAGGAAGTCAGCAGGGATCATAGGATCCCAGCAAGATAAGCATCCAAATGTGTCTTGAAGGCATTCAAAGTGGGTGCTTGAACCACCTCCGGCGGCAGTCTATGCCAAACCTTGGGGGCTCGGACTGTAAAGAAGTTCTTCCTTATGTCCAGCCTGAATTGGTCACAGTGGAGTTTGTGACCGTTTGATCTTGTCATCCCTTGGGGTGTTCTGGTGAAGACATTCCCCCAGATCCTGACGAGCACCCCTGATAAATGTGTAGGTGGCCACCAGATCACCCCTGAGCCTGCGCTTTTTCTAGGCTGAAGAGTCCCATGGCTCTCAGCCTCTCATCATAAGGTCTGTTTTCCTGACCTCTGATCATGTGCATGGCTCTCCTCTGCACTCTCTCAAGCTTCTCCACATCCTTATTGAATTGTGGAGCCCAAAACTGGATGCAGTACTCCAGCTCTGGCCTCACCAAGGCTGAGTACAACGGGAGAATGACATCCCAGGATTTGCTTGAGAAGCAATCTATGGATGCAAGCCAGCGTTTTGCTTGCTTTACTAGCCGCAGTATCACATTGAAGGCTCATGTTCATCTTGTGGTCAATCATGACCCACAACTCCCTTTCATCTGTAGTGCTAACCAGCGTAGCACTGCCAAGCCTATAAGCATGCTGCAGGTTTTTCCTCCCAAGGTGGAGAACCTTGCATTTTTCAGTGTTAAACACCATCAGGTTCTCACATCATTGATGAAGATGTTAAACAGTACAGGCCCTAGGACAGAGCCTTGAGGGACCCCACTGGTGACCGTGCACCAAGATGATTGGCTTCCGTCAACCACCACCCTCTGGGTCCTACCGCAGAGCCAATTCCCCAGCCAGCAGATTGTGGTGAGGTCGAGGCCGCAGTTAGCCAGTTTAGCCAAGAGGTGATCATGGGATACCAGATCGAAGGCTTTTTTAAAGTCAAGATATACAACATCAATCTCTTCCCCCTTGTCCTGGTGATGGGTCACCTGGTTGTAAAAGGAAACGAGATTGGTGAAGCAAGACCTACCCACAACAAACCCATGCTGGGTATCCCTCAGGATATTGCTGTTAGCTAGTCTGTTAAGGATGGCCTCTTTGATAATCTTTTCCAAGACCTTCCCCAGGATAGAGGTCAGGCTGATGGGCCTGTAGTTTACCAGATCTACTTTCCTCCCTTGAAGATTGGCATGACATTGACCTTCTTCCAATCTTCGGGCACTTCACCAGAGCACCAGGAGTTTTCAAAGATCCATGCCAGGGGCTGAGTTATGATGCTTGCCAGCTCCTTGAGTACCCTTGGGTGGTAAACCATCAGGGCTGGCTGACTTGAAGGTATCCAGCCTGTCAAGGTATTCCTTCATGAGGTCAGCTTCAATGGAGGGCAAGGAATCTCCCTCACCCAGGCCTCCCTGACCCACAGTGGGCAGGGGTGTCCCATGGGACTGGTGAAAAACTGATACAAAGTACCCATTTAGCAAGTTTGCTTTTTCATGGGCATCAGTTGTCAGTTGTCCCATCTGGTTTAGAGGCGCCCATAGTTGCCCTTGCTTTTCCTCTGGCTCCCCACATATCTAGAAAAGGACTTTTTATTGTCCTTGATATTTGTAGCTAGCTAGAGTCCATTGCAGCCTTGGCTTTCCTGGTTTGCTCCCTGCAGGTCCGGACGAGAGCAGAGCATTCCTCCTTGGAGGTGGTTCCAGTCCTTCATCCTTTGTAGGTCTTCCTTTTAAGACGCAGGAGGTCCGTCAGTTCCCTGGAGAGCCAAGGGGGCTGCTGTGCCCTTTTGCTACCTTTCCTCCAAGATGGGATGGACTTTGCTTGCGCATCCAGGATTGTTCCCTTGAGGAGCAACCACTCGTCCCTTAGCCAGGGAAGGCTGGGACCACAGTGGTCCAGCAGCCCAGGGAGGGGACAAGGAAGACCGGGACATGGGCCCAAAGGCCCAGGGAGGGGCCAGGGAAGACTGGGACTGCATGGGTCCAGAGGCCCAGGGAGGGGGGCTTGAGCAAGTACAGTGGGACCACAGGGGTCCAGCGGCCCAGTGAGGCATGGGGTGTGGTGCAGGGGTGGATTTGGAGCCATGCAATTTGCCCTTAAGGCTCGAGGTACTATCCGGGGGGCACTGTTGCAGAATGGGGCTCAGCAAGGGGCCTGGGTGCAGGTAGAGGCTGATGGAGGTTTGGTGGAACTGGGTCATATGAAGACCTGCAGGCAGCATCCCTATTATCATATTGACCATCAAGGTGTAGCAGGAAAGATGGAAAGGCACCCTAGAGACAGAACAATGCACGGTCATAGAGCCTCCAGGGGAATATCACAGCTGTCCCTGGAATCTGACCCTGTGACAGTGATACACATACAGCTGTGTTCATTTGCACACTTTATCAAGTACCAAATGTATAAAACAGCCTCTTTTTCATTTTAAAGATACCGTATTGGACCGTTTGAAGTTGAAAGTGCACTGACAGAACACCCAGCAGTGGTAGAATCAGCTGCTGTCAGCAGCCCAGATCCCATCAGAGGAGAGGTACAGTTTTAGACAGAGAGAGAGAGAGAGAGAGAGAGAGAGAGAGAGGGGGGGTGTGTGGGGGTGTGTGTGTTAACACATACAAAACTGAGCCCTAAACAGAACCTTGATTCTCAATAGGCTACTACAAACTGTTTAGCAGTCATATCCATAATACAGGCAGTCCTCGACTTACAAAATTTCAAGTTACAATGTTTCGCACTTATGTTTATAAATTGACACCCTGTTTCAACTTTACGACGTCAGTCTCGACTTTATAACGCTTGATCCGATGCGACGCCACGCCAGCGAACAAGTTCACTGCTACACTTACCTCCCTGGAGAACATCTGTCCAAACTTCCCTGGATACTTTCTTTAAAAAAGCAGACAAGACTCCAGGAAAACCTGCAGCCAAGACTCCTGAGAAGACTCCAGTCAAAAACCCTTCAAAAATTCTAACCAAGAGCCTTTCAAAAAGTCCAGCAAAGTCACCTCAAAGAAGTCCTTCCAAATCAATATGATTGCTATTTACAATATAAATACATTAATGTAGCTATATTACTATAACTGATTAAGTAAAAAATTCTGGGGTATTTTTCGTGAAAATAGGGCATCAGGCCTTGGTTCAGGAACCAATCCCCATTTATAACATTGTTTCTTATGAGAAAATTGGTTCCGAGTTACAATGTTCTGACTTAAGACGCGGTTTTCAGGAATCAATTGTGTCGTAAGTCCTAGGACTGTCTGTATTTATCTGAATGCAAGGAAATATTTGCACAGTGGAGTACAGTGTCCTATAGTTAATATGGCGATACAGTAAGTAGCAGCTACATTTTATCATTGTGCAGCCAAAGTGCTTATGATTTTTCATGCTAAGACTTGCAAACACTTTAGGTTAGAATTGCATATTGAAGATAAGGTTGGCTTGAATTTACTTCTTTTTACACATAGTACGCATACAGGTGCTGTTCTCTAGATAAACTGTCCATACAAGCCTTACCTGAGTAAAGTGTTCAGAGCCTGCCTATAAATTAGTGATTTTTTAGTTTGTCAGCAAATTAGTTTTGTTAAACATTACAATCCCTGTACTTTATTACAGGCACTTAATTTCAGCAGTATTTCTTTTTTCAAGGTGGTGAAGGCCTTTGTAGTTTTGGCACCTGACTACCTTTCGCAAGATCCAGAAAAACTGATCACCGAGTTACAGGACCATGTAAAAAAAGTCACTGCCCCATACAAGTATCCTAGAAAGGTAAATGTTCAAATGGGCAGGTATTTTTGACAAATACATTACAATCACTTAGCAGTGTGGAAAGTTCTGCATATATGCACTTTATTGTATTCCCACATCTACATTCATAAGAAACTAACAGAGAAGAGACAGGCATTATGGAGATTACTGAAGCAGAAATCCAAATCTGATGAACAGTCACAAGACATCCCTGTGCAGCCATATACTGGTATACTGGCTCTATAATAATTGGTGGCAAGCTATTTGTCAGTACTGCACCACCAAGCATATCACTGTAGAGAATGATGGAAAAGCTGGAGAGTTTAGTGAAACATTCAGAGGAGGGCCACCTGCTTGGTGAGAGGGCAGCAGGATAGGCCCTATGAGGAGAGACTGAGGGACCTGAACCTGTTCAGCCTCAGCAAGAGGAGGCTGAAGGGGGACCTGGTGGCTGCGTACAAACTCATCTGGGGAGATCAACAGCAAATAGGCAGAAACCTTTTCTCCCCTGCACCACCTGCGGTGACAAGAACAATGTTAATAAGCTGATGGAGAATAGGTTTAGGTTAGAGATCAGAAGGCAATATTTTACAGTTAGGGCGTCCAAAATCTGGAGCCAACTTCCCAGGGAAGTAGTCCTCGCCCCTACCTTGGGCAAATTCAAGAAGAGGTTGGATAATCACCTGTCTCGGGTCTTGTGAACCCAGCATTCATTCCTGCCTGTGGCAAGGGGTCAGGCTAAATTATCTGTTCAGGTCCCTCCTGACCCTAGCTACTATGAAACAAGAAACTGCAAATAATCACCCCAAGGAGCTCCTAACCCAAGGAACAGAATATCTTAGTTACAGAAAGAATAATTTAATATTTTATACAGTGGAAATATCTAGCAATTGGAAGGCAACCAGTAAAAGTTAGACACTAAGGGCACCTATAGACGTACGTTGAGGCTGCTCCAATGCACTGCAATTACAACACATTGGAGCAGACTCAATTAATCAAGTCTGCTGGAGCGTGGTAATTACTGCACTCCAGCAGACTCCAGCGTCACGTGCATCAGCATCCCCGTACTAAAAAATGGTAGCAGGAGTGCTTTAACTAAAGCTTGTATGATACGCTTTAGTTAAAGTGCCCCCACTGCCATTTTTCAGCGTAGGAACAGTGATACAAGTTACACTCCAGGTGCTTCAATAAAAGCAGCTCTTGGAGCTGCTCTCATTGAAGTGCCCTTTTGCTAATTAAAGTACCTCCTGCAGCAAGTGCATAAACAACTTAAAGCTTTTTGTACATCACAAATATCAGGTTACTTTTCACAGACGTGGACTGAAAATAATTTGACTTGTAGGCACAGCACTGCTAAGAAGTTTGAAGGTTTCAAATATAAACCTTTGCTAAATGTATTACTGACAGTTCTCTCTCCCCTCACTTACATTCCTTAAACAGACCCAAAGAAAAATCTTTTATTCTCAATAATTATAATTCCATATCTTCCAAGTAAAGACAAACTAAAATATTTAAGTGCATTAGATGAGTGCATCTACTTGTTAATTTATTGTGCATTGATTTGTAATTTCTTCTCTTGTCCAATAGATGGAGTTTGTTCAACAGCTGCCAAAGACAGTTAGTGGAAAGATCAAAAGAAATGAACTGCGTAAGAAAGAGTGGGAGAAAATTTAGAATTATCTAAGCATTTATTTTGCATTATTCGTTTTTACAAAGGGAAAGACTTCTTTCTCCTATTGCAATTTCTTGTTCTGTTCCTTGGTTCTATTTTAAAGTGCACAGATCTAGAGCATCACAGTACATTTTTTGCGTCTCCAAACCTCTGCTGACCTCAGCCGGAACTTGGATGAATAAGCAATGTAAGCTTAGGCCTTTGGTGGGCATCTCTGTAGTTGAGCATTTCTTTTTCCATGTGTTCTAGACCTAAAAAGACTGAAAACATTTTGCCAGAGATAAAAATTCAAGTTTTAACAATAACACCTATTGTTTAAGTACACAAATATGCAGGAAAGAATATACACAGACAATAGGAACCAAGTGGATCTGTATCCAAAGTTTGTATCTTAGTAGTGCCAGGAACTAACTGTCAGCTAAAAAAAAGCACATAGTTCTTCCTGTATTTTGTGCAATCAAATATAGTAATCCTGGATTTTAAGGCTGTCTTCACCATATCTCCTCATACACACTTATGAGAAAATAAAACTTTGAAAGGAAAATATTAGGTGATGGTAGTTTTCTATATCCATTAGTTTTAATTAATGCAATGTTTATGTACTCCTAGTTCACAGCTGTCAGGTAGTTTGAGTTAATCTTCTCTACAAAAGTATTTTTGCTACTTTACATGTTTAATACATCCATTATTACTAACTGGTAACCTAAGCATATATTTAAAAGACAAATGTCTCTACAATTGACAGAACTCATATGTACACTAAGTTATAGATATCACTATACCTCTCCCTAATATTTTCCTTTAGATAGCTAAGCTCCCAGGGTTAAGTTTTCGGTTATAAAAATTGCAGAATATAAGAATAGAAATTAATGAAAGAGCGAATTTACAAGTTATCCCTCGTATTGTGATATTATCGGTTATTTAATAAAGATTAGGTCTGCATAAATATATACATTGTCATGACACTGAACTGGCCCACATATTGTGATGTGAAGTACAATGCAGAGATGTAGATGTAACAACAGCAGAAGCCTTAATATTTTTTTTATTGCGTTTTTAAGTTTATTTACTTGATAAAATGTCAGAGGAATTTATATTACATTTTTATACGATTTCAGTAGTAAAAAGTGTTATAATCATCACCACTGCTTCAACTACCATGGAATGAAAAAGAATTAGATATGCATACATTGTAAAAAAGCGCAAGTTGTGAATACATTTTTCATTAAAAAAAAATTAAATTAAAAAGCACTTGTATACAATATTTGTATTACACCAAAGCTGGTGTTTAAGTATATTTGGCTATTAAAAATATAAAAGGCACAATAAAATAAAAATGTTAAAATTTGTGATGCCAGCTACTTATACTTTCACATCAGCTCAACCAACCTTCATAAATCCTCACACTTCATCAATATCTGAGTTTCCATTATTGTATCTAGCATTTTAACTTATGTAGCTCTATCTGTTTCCACGGTTTCCATTTTGATCTGCAGTAGTCATTTCTACTTCATTTGCAGGACATGCAGATCTATGGCACTATCTGACTGCTCTTTATGTAGTAGTAGCAAACCAGAAAATTAAAAGAATATTCACGTTCTCATCGAAGGCCTCAGACAAATATAGTTCCTGTGAGAAGAACTTCCTGATATATTGACACATGATCTTGGAGATGTTAAATCATTTACAGTTGGGGACAAATGATTAGCAGATCTCTCCTTTAAAAGGGCATGTTCCCACTTGAAATATCCACAGCCTCTCTTCTTCCCTTCATGTTTTCCAACAGGACAACTGTAGAATGTTTTGCCATGATTTGGACCATTGTTGGACACATTTAGTCTTCTAGCTCTTCGACCACAATTACATAAGGGTGGGGTCAATTTTTCACTTTTCACTGCCCTCATAGATTGATCCATGTTGACTCTGGGATTTAAAACAAAAGGAGGAGTGTTGTATGAGCTTGAACTTCTTAAAGGCAGGAACTGATCAGGAGATACAGTTTTATCTTCATATACAGTAAATGACTGCTTTTTTGCTGGTGGGACAGTTTCTGGATTAGACAGCTTTCTTTTAGGAACTTCAGTAGAATCTTTTCCAATTAACACCGTACTTGATAAAGTAACATCTCCTCTAGCAGGTGGTAACTTAAAAGACGAACAATTTGGAGTCTGCTTTTGGGCTATTCCTACATTATAGATGGTAGTATTAGGACTTTTGTATACAATAGACTTTGAAGATCCCAAAGACACAGCAGTTTCTCTCAAATGTTCTAAGTCTGAATGCGCCACAGCTGGTTCTTCCAAAACCATCACTTCTGCTGGAACTGAGAAAGTCTCTGTAGTTGGGTCATCTTTCAGTTGCACAGAGTCTGAACTGTGTTCATGCTGAGATTCTGGTATTAAAGCTACATCCTCCCAATCAGTCAACATGGATAAACAGTCAGAACTAGTACTTATATCCCCATCAGAGATATTAACAGAGGAGATAGTAGTGGAGACAAGCACCAGCCCTGACCCAGGCGCTGAAGAGTTGTAGTTAGAGGTAGAAGTAAGGTTTCCATTTAATCCTTTTTGGAAACCAGTCAATAAACAACCACGAGGAGTCCGTGGCTGTCCAAGAAAAGGAATTTTATCAATTGTGACAATGCCATTTGGGGCTTGACCACATAAGTCAGCCTTTCTTCTGCAGGCAGATGCAACATGGATATTTGTAGAGGAACTTGTACAACTGGATTTTTCCTGGGCCTGTATCTCTGCACTGGAATTTATAATTGTTTCAGTAACTGTATTCCGTTTGTTCTCAGCCAGGCAGCTGCTGTTGCATATTCTATCTTTACATAAAGTTTCAGTGCCATCGTTACTTTCCACTGGCTCATCTTCAGTGGGGTTTATATTCAGACATCTTGAAACTGAATTCTTCTTTGGCTGCACCTAGGAATTCCATTAACAAACTGAGATTTTGGAAAATGGATGTCCAGAAGTCGATGTATGAGAAAAGAGATGTCTGCCTTATTAGTGCCCTAACACAATTATTAGTGTCCTAACACAAATTACATTCAAAGTCTTTGTTCCATTATTTCAGTGACCTCACCATTTGACTGTATTCCAGGACTTGAGGCAAGAAGAAAGGAACAAATGAAGAACTCACTAACCTTATCTAAAGATTTGGTAATTTCCAGCATGCATCCATCACAGATCATCCTCCAAGCAAGACGGGCAGTGTTCCGAGAATCATCCAGCCCTTTGGAAGATGTGTTATATTACTTTCTTATTTTTAAAAATCACTACTGAGAGTAGCAAATGAGTGGCATAGTAAAATTTAGATAAGTAAGCGAAGTCAATGCTCAGTAAGTGTCACCGAATACTGTCATTGTATCACTGCCTTCGCTTACCTATTTACTCAAATATAAGCTGACCCCCCAATAATTAGATTCTATTCATGGAAAAGTTATAAATATATTATAAATGTTCCAGGTATAGAATCTAATCATTAGAGGTTTGCCTTGCATTTGCCCCCCTCCCACTACTACAGCAAGGAAAAAATGGAGATGGGGAGGTCAGGTAGTCCCCTTGCCTTCTGCCCCACCTACTTCTCCCCCTGCAACTCCTTCCACTGCCCTTACTGCCAGATCCTGCTCTTCCTGAGCACAAGGAAGTGAGGCAATTTTGAAAACAATGACTTTGAAACAAACATACCTATAGTAATTTAGTTCATCCAGAATTTATGTATTTTGCCTTTTTTGGAAATTGCCACAAGTTTTAGCATATGTACTCCAGAAACACACTTTTACCCAGAACTTTTTAACCTATATATTACAAACTTTTTTTAAAATTTCATTTTCAGAGCCAAATCAGTTCAAAATTAAGTTTCAAATTGCAACTGAGCAGAACTCAATTGTTCAAGTCTGTGTAGAAACTTCTATTATTATTATTATTACTATTAAATTTCATGTCTCAGGCCAAATTAGCCAAATCCGTCCCAAATTCCAATGACTACTTGGTCATTCAAATCTGTGTGGCGCTACCACTGGCAAGTATCGTCCCTCCCAGACTCTTTGGCCTGGGGCTTCTGATACTCCCAAACGCACGGCTGGCATTCTACGTGCAAGCCTGCCAACAGGCCAAAGGAGCAAGCTAGGAAGAAATTTCCCATCTCTGCAAAATAGGCACGTAGCTGAGATTCTTCATTGGGAAGCTTCAGTAGACTCTCAGAGGGAAGACCTGTCCTTAAAGCACTGAACAGGTCTCCACCTTCTACTATACAATGCCATTCAAGGTTATCTGACCTCTGCAGGAAGCTACACTCATGGTACTGGTCATGCAAACCACTTCATGGTATCTCCCCTACCAAATATGCATATGGGCCAAAAGGCTCACAATTTGCCACATACTTCATTGGGCTGAGCCCCAGCAGAGTCAATAGCGTTTCAAGCCATAGTGACCCTATAGCTCAGAAATGCTCAGTATGTGTGTGTACTCCCCATAAAGGATCTATGTTCTAATAACCCCCACCACTCATGACTAGAGCTGGGTGTTCTTGTTATGAGTCCTGGGATCCTCCAAAATGTATATGCAGATGGGGCAACAGAGCAACCTGATCCAGCTTCACCTCATGGAGGACAGGGCCTCACTAATCACATGTAACAGGCTGAAAGGAGGTGACAGCAGGATTCTGGGTGAACAGTTTGGGGCCCTGCTTGATGAAGTTTACCAGATATTTGCGGAAGGCTGGTGAAACAGGAATTGGAAATGGGAAAGGAAGGCACAGCTCAGTGGGAAATGAAAAGGAAGCTAAAATATATTCAATGCAGTGGCTCACATGACTTGAAAAGGAGTCAGTGTTGAGGGGGACCGAGTACAATGAATATTACTATGTGGTCAGTTGGGCTGTACTAACCTATTCTTATGGTAGGTTCCCATCAGTATGTTTGCCCAATATGGGCCAAATGTTTTATGGTCATGGTCAGTGTTGGCTACTTTTAATTTCATAGTTGGTATCTATTACTGAGCACATGCTGTTTTTGGCACCAGTTTAATAACAGATAACATGTTATTAACAGATAACAGGTTTCCTTGTATGTGAATGTAAGAATAGGAGCTTTTCTCCCCATGCTGACTAGGGAGAAAATACTCTGTCTTATGTTCACATAAATATGGTAACTACCCACATTGAACTATTTATCGGGCTACAGCAAACACAGTGCCCATTCAAAAGCTTCTGACTTATGACCTTGTCATTCAAGTTCTCTGCACAAAGCACTGCAATGGACTTCAAGGAGAATACAAGAGTTTCATAGCTAATGATCTTAAGAATCAAATATCTGAGATGAAACATCCAACCATCTGAACCCTCTAGCTTCTTTATTCAGATTTTTTGTTAGTGTGGATCACATCACATGGAAATAAGTAAGGTTGTAATTTCTGTATTTTAGCTGCTTTTATAAAATACTTTATAATAATGCTGGTCAGCTCACACTCACCAGAATGCTCCCGTCCTGCAAACTCTATCCCCAAATCCTGTAAAGCGCCATTTAACCCTTTAGGCCTTCTACTGTAGAAGTTCTAAGAAAAAAATGCAATAATTTTAGAAAATACATGAAGCACAATATCATCTTACATACAATAAACCTCACAAGGCCCTTGTGAGACAAGTGCATTCTAATGTAGTTGGGTTACATAAGATTAAGTAACTTGCTCTACAGCAATTTAAAATTGCAGAGATTCCAGTCTCCCAGTTTTGGGCTAAAAACTATCCTGTACACCCCCCTCAAGTTTGTCAGTTACACATGTGTGATTCACAGCAAAGGAAGAGGTAAATGAACAATCTTATGGGAATACAACTCTAAGTCGTATGATTACATTCATTTAACTTGCTGTATATGTTGCAACAGCAAAGGCCTGCTAGTTATTTTAAATTGGGCACAGGTGCAAGCTTCTTTTAAATGGAAAACAAAAAAGCATTTCTAGAAACTACTGGTATTTCTTGTTCAGGGACAATGAAAACTGACTCTATTACAAATAATTTACACCCAGTCAAGAGCTTAACAGGTAAAACTAAGGTCTGACATTAAAATCTGTATAGCTCTGGGCTTATATCCTTCTTTCCTGTTGCCAAATACAATAAGTATGTGCGCGCGCCGGGGGGGGGGGGGGAAGCAATGCTTTTTACTTAAACATACACATGTACTACTTGGTTGTAAACCTGGATATACAATTTACTTTTAGGTGACTAAAAAATGTGTACCCATAAAATCTATTGGATTCTCAAACCTTGTACGTTGCTCTGAGATCAATCCAAGAGTTTAAAATATCAGGTTTTCGCAGCTGCTTTCTTTTACACTCATAATGCAAACAAACTCCTAGATCCCAGTCTGTACAAGAGATAAAAGTAAACATGATATAGGACAATAACATGACATAGTGCAGGTAAAGCAAAGATAACACAAAACCAGCTTCAGAGCCTACAGACCAAGATGCAAAAAATATAAAATCTATTCATTTTTATCAGTACAGTCCATCCAATTGTATCTTTTTACAAGAGAGTGTAAGTTGATAGCATGGGTTCCTAAACGACACAGCAGAGAAACAGCAGGAACGCTATAATGACTGAGACCTAACATTGGGACAATGATAACACTGGCAAGAGTTAGAGTGGAAAAGTTTGCATTAATGCTGTGAGGGCTAAGCTAAGAACATCATTTTTTCATAGATTCATAGATGCTAGGGTCAGAAGGGACCTCAATAGATCATCGAATCCGACCCCCTGCATAGGCAGGAAAGATTGCTGGGTCTAGATGACCCCAGCTAGTTGGATATCCAACCTCCTCTTGAAGACCCCCAGGGTAGGGGAGAGCACCACCTCCCTTGGGAGCCTATTCCAGACCTTGGCCACTCTAACTGTGAAGAAGTTCTTCCTAATGTCCAGTCTAAATCTGCTCTCTGCTAGCTTGTGGCCATTATTTCTTGTAACCCCCGGGGGCGCCTTGGTGAATAAAACCTCACCAATTC